CCCGGAAGCACGGGGCGGCCCAGGGCGCTGCCCGCCGCCCGGCTTTCTCGGGCGGGAGGCGTCTTGTGGAAAGGCGCTTCCTGATGCGTGGCCCTCCTGAGGCCTGCGCTGGCAGAGCGCCGCCTGGTGCTCCGCCGACCGAGCAGCTGGCCGGCAGGGTGGCACGCTTTGGAAACCGTGCTCAGCGAGTCCTGGGCAGGTGTGCTGGAAGGCACCTCAGAGGTCATCCAGCCCACCCACCGCTCTCAGCCTGTGGCTAGCCGCTCCGAGAGGCAGGGCACCCAGCCTGGGCAAAAGCGCACGGGCGAAGGAGAGGCCGCAGCATCCAGGGACATCTCCGGCCGCGCTGTTCCTGCAGCCCCTCCTCTGCCCCCAGAGCCGCTTCCCAGCAAGCACCGCCTTTTGTTCTCCCTGCAGGGGCCACAAGGAAGGGGCTGCCTCCGTCCTCTGCAGGACGGCCCTTTGCACCCTGGGAGGCTGCTGCCGCACCCGCCCTCGAGGCCCCCTTTCCCTTGCTGATCATGGCCAACTCCTTCAGAGGCAGGCGGGGTGTCACTCTTCTTCAGAGGCTGCCAGGAACGAGATCCCATATTCCCCTTGCAGCGTGGTCTGTGCGGAGTGGCACGGTGCCGTTCTTACATGGATGTGTGGAGTTGAGACGTGCCTGGAGGCTGGAGCGGCCCAGACCCTTTGGTCCCGCGCTGCATCCCCACAGTGACCAAGCAGCTGCTCAGGTTCCCACAAGCAGGACTTGAGTGCCGCAGCATCTTCCTGCCTATGCGCCGGTGGGACTCTACTGGACGCGCCTGCGGCTGTGAGGGCTAATAACCATTAACAACCTTCTCCAAGCATTGGCCCAGTCGCCTTTCAATGTTACCCACATGTGTGGCCATCACAGCATCTCACGGAAATGAATTGTGTGCTTGCAGAGAAGTCCTTCATAGAATCATAGACTGGTCCAGCTGGGAGGGGCCAGGAAGGCTGCCATCCCCCTGCTGTTGCAGGGCACCAATTTACACCAGCCCACTCAGATGGCTGCCCAGTTTCTTTCTGAATGTCCCCAGTGTGGGAGAGCCCCCACCTCTCCAGGCAGCCGGTTCCCCTGTTGTGTTGCTCTGACAGTGAGGAAGCTTTTCCTGGTATCCAGCCTGAATCTGGGTTGTCGCAACTTGAGCTGATCATTCCATGTCCTAAACTCTGGGATCAGTGGGAAGAGAGCTTGACCTTCCTCTTTGGGACAGCCTTTGAGGTCCTTATAGAGGGGGTATCATGTCTCCACACACCAGTCTTCCCTATCCAAGGCTGAACATGCCCAGTTCTCCCAGTCTCTCCTCGCAGGTCAGTGTTTCCAAACCCTGGATCATTTTGTTGCCCTCCTCTGGACCTTTTCTAATTTTTCTGCATCTTTCTAAAATCTTGGTGCCCAAAACCAGCCCCAGGGTTCCAGATGAGGTCTGTCTAGTGAAGAGTATAGGGGAACTATCTGTCCTGAATCTCCCATCCATCCACTTCATGGGATGAACCCTTTGGCTTCTAGTAGCATGGAGTGGCAGACAGTGTCTGCCTCTCCATTTTTCCCCACAACGCATAATTGTGTCATGCCTCTCTTTACACACCTTTTTTCCTAAGCTAACCCAGCTCAGCCACTGTAACCTTTTCCTCGCAGAAAGTGGCTCCAGCACCGTGATCATTTCAGTTGCCCTTTTCTGCACTATTCCCAGCAATCCTATTTCCCAGTCAGTTCAAAGTGCCGATTGCTCCTGTGAAGTCCCAAACAGCCTTGGAGGAACTGCCATGAATAGCTGTAGCCTTTGGCAGGCATAGAAACATAACTGATACTAATGGCTGCTCCAGGACTGCTCCGGGCCAGAGGAAGCAAGCTGGCCCTGGCCCCGGGGGCATTTCTAGAGTCCTGAGGATGTGGCACGGGGCCTTCGTGTCAGTGGTGGCCCATCCTTGGAACACGCTCCCTCACTCAGTGTCCTTCCAGGCGGAGAAGGGTAAGAGCCTGAATTACGGACGGGGAGCACCGCCAGCCCAGAGGCCCTTTGAGGGCAGGCCTCAGACCCTAGAGCGCCTGCAGGGCAAAGCCCTGGCTAGTGAGCCAAACGACAGGGCTCTGGAGAGCAGAAGTCGCAGCAGCCTCGGCATGCAAATGACGCTCTCCTCCTCTCCCTTACAGAAGGTCAAATAAGCAGGGTCTTTTCAGTGGTGGGTCCCACCCTGTGGGTGCCTTCCATCCCATGGAGATCACTATGGTGTCTTTCTGAGGGGGTCTTTTGTTAGTTTGGCTTGCTTTTGTTGAGTTTAGCTCAGTTTCTGCATGCTCCAACCAAATGTTTGTGCGCGATTGCCATCCCTCCCTGCAGAAGAGGGCAGGACGTGTTCCAATGGAGCAAAGCTCAGGGGACCAAGGTTCAGTTTGGATGCCAGGAAGGACTTCCTGGTGGTTAGGACTCCAAGGGTATGGAATGGGCTTCCACGGCAGGTGGAGGAAGCCCCAATGGTGAGGGTGTTCAAGGACAGGCTGGACATGCACATGGTTGGCATGTTGTGAGTAGAGCCGGCTGGAGCCAGGGGTCAGACTAGATGGCCCAGCAGGACCCTTCTGCCTGGCTCTGTTTCTATGTTTCTCTGAGTGGAGCTGGCTAGAGCCAGGGTCAGACTAGAAGGCCTGGGAGGCCCCTTCTGACTCGCTCTGCTTCTGTTTCTTTGCCCTGCTTGATCAGCGAAGGGGTCGCAGAGAACGCAAGCCAGCGGTGCTGCTCCAATGCTGCTTCCCCACCCTAGTGCTGCTTCCTTCCTTCCCTTCCTTTCTCTTCCTTTCTCTTCCTGGAAGAGCAGAGCAGCAACACGATCCCTTTGTATGTGTGTTAGGAACATGCCTAAGACACAAACGAAGACGCTGTCCCGGGGCGTGGGGGGGGGGGGGCGTGCTGGAGGTGCCCCTGCTTCTTGCACACGGCTTGGTTTCTGGGTCTGCCTTCAGAGCCACCCCGAGGGACCCAGCCTTCTTAGGCGAGGTTGATGGGATGGACGGCCTTATTTCCCAGCCTCACCTTCCTTGCAGCCCCTTGCCTGGCACAGCTGTCGCAAAGAGTCCCCTTTCTTCCCTCACTTGCAGTGCTGCAAAAGCTCCCGTGACCACAGATGGCGCTGCCCCTCGGAGACACGGGAACGGGGGAGGCAGGGCCCGATCCCAGGAGGGCCAGGCAGGCAGAGGAGACGCGTGCCGTGCTGCCACACCACAGGGGCCGCCCCTCCACGTGTGGGGGCTGTCTCAGGACGGGCACCCTGAGGAAGTTCAATTTTTTCGATTTTATATCCTGCCTTTTTCCTACAAAGGACTCAAGGCAGCTCACATCATTCTCCTCCTCCATCTTATCCCCACAACAACAACCCTGTGGGGTAGGCTGGGCTGAGAGTCTGTGACTGGCCCAGAGTCACCCAGCTGGCTCCATGGCCGAGCGGGGACTCGAACCCAGATCCTCTGAGTCCCAGTCCCATGCTCTTAACCACGACGCCACACTGGCTTTCTGGGAGTGCTTCCGCCAGAGGAGCCCACGGCCTGCAGCCAGTTCCTTGCGCACATGTGCTGCTGCCTCTGCGGCCCGTTTGTCCGGGGGATGGTTCTCCAGGCTATCCTGCGGGCACGGGAGGCTCAGGGCAGGTGTGGAAGGCCTTCACGTGGCTTCCTCACGAGCCGCAGTTCTGAACTGGGAGAGCACAGGGTGGGCGCTCTCGGCCATCGCAAGTAGGAGGCAGGCGTGTCAAGCCGCCCTCCACACCCTGGCCAGCCCTCCTCCCTCTGCATGCATGGTTCCTTTCCCGTGGACCCAGGCCTGAGGCTGGGAGCCCCCCCTGCAGGGCTCTTCAAAGCCCCCCACCCCCTGTCCTCTGCTGCCCCCAGCAGCCACAGTCCCGCACTGCTCAGTCCCAAACTAAACTCCGCTGGCTGGCAGGAGGGATCGTGAGATGGAGGGGCTCCTCTGCCCCTTCGCTGCAGCACGTGCCCCCGAGGGCTGAGCAGGGACTCTGGGGTCAGCAGGTGAGAACTCCCTCCAGGCCGCCCCCCTCCAGACCTTTGTGCCCCCACTTTCTTCCTTGAGGGACTCAGCACCAACCCAGCCTCTGCTCCTTGCATGGCCCCCACACAGGCTAGGCTGAGCGAAGCGGGGGGCCCCGCTGCCCCTGCAGCCGAAAGACCCTGCCAGAGGGGAAGCCGCGCTCCATCGCAGGGCCCGGCCGCAGGAGGGGCAGGCCGGCTGGGCGCCTCTGCTCAGTGTCCTCGGGCAGGGCAGGAGGGAGGCAGGAGAGGACCAGGCAGGTGCCGTCTCGTCCAGGAGCAGCACCCCTGCCTGGCCCGTAGGCTCCTGCCAGGTGGCAAGGGCTCCTTGCCTCGGGACCAAGTGCTGAGGGCCCTTTGGGAGGGTAGGGCCCTGCCTGCCCCTCCCCCTGTGCACCCACCACTGCCCTCAGACGTGGGCATGGAGGGCAGGTTCCCATCCTCCGTTCAGAAGGCTCCAGC